TTTATTCATTTTATTAACAAATTTATTTGTATGCAGATGCAAGTTAAAAACAAACAAACGAACATAGTTACATTCAGATGATTCATCTAGATGTATAGACGAAATAGAGAAACGAACAACATCCAGATGCTCCATCTGGATAAGGCATCTGGATGGATCATCTGGATGCATCTTTCAGATGTACAAACGAACAGGGCCTCACTAGTTAAACGTCTACGCCTACGCGCGCGCACTTTTTTAGTATTGCAAAAATAAAACTAGTTTATGTTACATACTACTAATTAATTTAATTTAATCAAGAGATAATTTGCTCAAACACTATATTGAGACCCTTAATTAGAGAAATACACACGATGTGACATAATTAAATTTAATGATCAATTTACCCTTCTTTTTACAAGCATGTGACTCTCTCTCACCTGACACATTCTCTCTCCTGACCCTCTCTTTCTTTCGATTCTTTTTCTTTCTCATCCTCAAACTCTCTTATCAAATTAATACCATCATTTTTTGTGTAAAAATTTATTGTTGCGAAAAAATTTATTACTATTTTACTACTATTCTTATGAATCTAAATTATTTTAATTACACCACATTCTGAAAAAGTCAGCATTGAAGTTTTTTTTTAAAATCGCCGAGATGTTAACACTTATGTTAGCTGTTAACAAATAATGTAGATATCAAAAAAAGTGTTAACTGTTAACAAATACATGTACCGGATGTATTAACAGAGGCGTTAACTGTTAACAAATTTTGTAAATGTTAATAGATATGTTAGTTGTTAACAAGACATGTATTATAAGTGTTAATAGAGATGTTAGTTGTTAATAAATTTTGTAAATGTCAATACATGCGTTAGGTATTATATGTTAATAAATAAATATTCTTGAAGTTTCATTTATCTATCAAAATGAGTAAAATTAAAATTCATTTACATATAAAATTGTAGATGAGAAAAAAAATCAAGAAAAAATAGTGTAAAAAGAAAGAAATGAATATGACAAAGAAATGTGTGGTTTAAAAAAAGAGATGAATAATAGTTGGAGAGAGAGTGTCAGATATAGACAATAAGATTCAGAAGGACATTTTTGTCCAACACCAACCAAATTGTAGAAAAGGTTACCTTAATGTCAACTCATGTGCATTTGCCTAATATAGACTTCAATTTTGGGCATTTGCCTAATTCTCTCTTTAATCAAATCGTCAAAAATAGAATAATTCACGTCATTACTAATGATTTCTTCTAACATATCTCAAAATGACGTTTTTTCTTTACATGTGTAAACGTCGAAAGTATTTTGATGGCTTACACTTATACTTCAAATACAAGATATTCATTTAGTGGATAGTGTCTCTTTGATTATTGCGTTTTATATACTACAACATGGAATTCTATTTGTTGCGTTTTATATACTACAACATGAAATTCTATTTAATGGCTAGTATCTATTTTTTAACGACCTAGCTAGCTAGCGCAACATAAAATTATATTTAGGTCCCCAACATCTACTTGCCAGATATGGAGCAAACGGAGCATACATACCATGCATTACTACTTCAGGCACTAGCCATTAATCAAGTTGTCCTCTTAATGGTATATATGCACAATATCAAGAAGCGTACGGACAGAGAGTAACCCTATGCAAATATCGCAGCATGGCCATGGGACGTTGAGATTAAGTATTTAAGTTTATGTAAATCGAACCTACCAGCAATGAATCAACTATTAGACAAAGAAATCGTTTCCAACTTCTTCTTATGAATTATCTAAATACTTAACTAATCTGAGACTTTTTGAAAAACAAAAGGTGTTAATCATACGCAGTTCTATATAACAACTTTGCTATTGGAATATCGTGCCCGCAGCATACAAGCACATTCTCGCTCTCATTGAATACAACAATCAAAAAGGAAGAGACAAGGGTCAAAACAAGATTTAAAGTTCACAAAGCGATAGAGAAATGATAATATTAGTCTGAAATCATTGTTGTGTGGGGACACATTGACCTCCTTTTCTTTCTACATGTTGGGGGCAAGCTGTTTTCATTGCCCAACATTTTGTTTTACCGCTACAAATATACTTTTTCACAATAATAATCTTTAGTTATTGTCTTTTCATTCTTTTTTTCTCTAGTTTTCCACACATAAATTATTAAAAATAGATCATTTAATGATTAAAAATTTTCAATAACTAAAAATCATCTAAATTAATTCTTACAGTTTATCAATATTAACTAAATATAAATTCAGAGTTGCTCAAAAATAAACTAAATATAAATTCAGTTAAAAAAACTAAATATATAGAATGAAGAGAATGCATGATTCAATCGAAAAGAAGAATATAAGTGTAAATAGCACTAAGATTATCTTCACTTTCGTTAGCTTTATTTTTCCATACAAAAAAAAAACTAATAATTTATGGCAAGTCATTATATGGTTCACGAGATGCGTATGGTACCATGATAGTGATAACATATTTTAAAAAGGAGAAGACCAGTAGAAGAGACAAAAAGGCAGAAACACACATTCTCCACAACAATTCAATTATTTACATTTTTGTATAGTAAAAAGAATAATCACAAAGATTTTTTGGTCTCTTCCCAATTTGAAAAACTCCGGCTTTCGACAGACCTACATGATACATCATTTTAGCCTTTAATTAATTTTGTAGCTACATGGCGTGCTCTACATTCAAAAAATTACAAGTCTTTTTTTTTTAACTGGAAAAGAAATTACAAATCTTTACTATTGGTGTTTTGCATGTGGCTGATTTGTAAGCTTTGATGTTTTAGATTCAACTAATGTATTTTAATTTTAATTTAATTTACATATAAATTAACATATAAAAATATGAGTGAATAAACTTTATTGAAAACAAATAAGACTTTAAAAAATTGTGAACAAAACCAAAAAGTAACAGGAAAAGAGTAAGTATTTTTTTAATATACGTGAACAATCTAAAATGTCATTCTCTTAAATACATAATAATACATTTGAGGGTTCCCATTTTATTAGCGACAATTTTATTTGATTAACGAATCAAATTTCAGTATTGCTAGTTATATACATTGTATTGGGTTTTTTCCTCCCGTAGACTATATTAAATTGTTTATTGATATAAATTAGTCAATTTTTGACAGTAAAATAACAAAATATATTAAAAACAAAATTTCATATCAGAATTTTGAAGAGATGTAATATATAATTAAAATAATTGAATCCATTCAACACCAACTGAATTTGAGTTAGTAGCTCGTATGAGTTAATATCGTATGGAAGTCTAATCCATAATTAATCGAGTACAAAATTGACTATGGCGATCTTTACCAAAACTAATAATAAAAGAAATCTCAGTTTTATTATGTGTATTTGGGATAAAATCATACGTCGAAAATTGGAACAAATCTTAAATAATATTCAAATGAAATTAACCATTTTATTTATCACCAATTTGCTTTGAATTGCAACATTATCTTAACTTAATAACACAAACAGAGGGCTGACAAAGAAAAAAAAAACACAGAGGCAACATACAAAATTTTAAATTTAGAGTCATGTTTTGTTAACGAGTTAAAATGTGCTTAATTTGATATTTAATATATGTTTTTTTAGATTTAATATATGTGTTAATTGCTTGCACCCTTTCATAATTAAGTATATATGCATATACAAGTATATAGTTGAATTATGAGATGTATCTTTTGTTAAAAAAAATTGTATCTTTTGTTTTAAACAATACTAAACGTAAACGTATAACTACGTATTATAAGATTTTACATGATGAACGACGAGTTGATATATTTTGATGACGTGTGGCTGAGCATTAAGGAACGACATACAATTCGTTTTTCCTAAATAATGAAACAAATCGAGGAAAAAGAAAGATAAATCAAGAACGGAGAAAATTCGTGTCACACGTGAAAAAAGTAAAGATTTAATATAGGCTCTGTTTGTTGAAAAAATATATTCAAAGAGAAAATAAAATTGGAAAAGAAAAAGTGTAAAAGCAGTGTTTTTTTTTTTTGCTAAATTTTGGAAAGTGTAAAAGAAGTTGAGAAGATATTACCACCTAAAGCTTGACGACAATTGTTAAAAACGAATCAAAATATAATGCGAGTGATACAAATGCATTGTCACATGTAAATTTTTTCGTGATATAAAAGGGAATTATGGAACGTAGTAGACGACAAAATTCATATTCTCATCACAACTATAACAATGTGCCTGATGTAAAAACTACATTTTATAACAGAAGTATTTCTATTTTAAAAAAACAAATATTTATTGATTTGATTTCGAAGTAAAAACAAAAAGTTTCCATAATCGTCATTTATTGGGTTCTACACATTTTCCTTATCAAGATTGTTGTATGTGCAGAATAGGAACGGTGAAAGCTTTTGGCGACGTGGTGGCATCCCAGGTGCTCAGAGTGGAAGCAGGTAGCTTTTAGTTCTGGTGTTACTGCTGCACCAGGTTTTATTGGTGCGTGTAATGCAGTTCCTCCTTGATCAAAGTTATAACTTATAACCTCTATTAATAAATTCAATCCTAAGCAATCTCCATCATAGTAGTATATGTGATTTACCCAAAATGCAACCAACTCAGTAATTATAGAAGAGAAAGAACATCTTTAATTATTTTACTGCGAAACATATATACTAATAAATTAACACATTACTAAGGCATAAACATTGCAAAAGCCTCAAGTTTATTTCTCTTCTCTTCATTGCATCCCATGCAGTCAAATGTCATGAATACCCTTCACATACATGCTCTTACCAAGCCATGACAAGGCGAGGGCACTCACGACATTTCGTATATGCAACGAGGAGCTTAATACAAAGATTGTTCTCAAAGTTTAAAAAGACTGTAATAATATTTAAAACGGTAAGCTCCGATCACGGAGAGGCTACAATTGCCCATGGCAGATGCAAAATCGGTTTCTCCTTCTTCGTCTTCTTCACCGGAGGTTGATTCAGCTCCGGCGACGGAGACAGTGACCACGAATCGTTTGAGCTTTCGTCGCTGTTGAAAGGGTTTGAATCGATGACGCAGCTTGGGGAGCTCGACGATGGTGATTCGAGATTCTTTCTTTTCTTGGAAGAATGGGTTTCGATCTGTAAATCGATACGATCCTGGAGGATGAGATTGTAGCAAGATTCAACCTTTTCCTGTTGAATGCATATAAAGTGTTCGTGAAAATGCCTGAGTGAAAACAGAGTTTTATTTATGGAGTGATTGGAATCTAACCTTGGTTATGTTAAGGGCGTTGAGGAGATTGGTTTGGCGTGAAAGAGGGTCAAAGGGCTCAACTTGGTCTATGACTCGCATCATGGTGGCTGCGGCAACAATTGATGGGCGGTAGCCGACAAATCTTGAGTCTGACAAAGAACAAAACAAGAATTTAAGATTACTGAGATTTGAGTAGATTATAAAAGGGTTTATCTTTTTGTCGTTTACGGACCTGAGATTACAGAGAGGAGGAGATGGTGGCATATGTTGAGGAAATCCCAGTGAGCATTGTTCTTAAGCCCCAATCTCCTGATGATGTGGTCAAGAAACGAAAGTGGAGTGACGAGATGCATCTTCCATTGGAGAGTGGACAGAATCAGCAACTCCATTCTCTGTATGGTTTTTGCCTCAAACACATACTTTGTCTCCTCCACCTACAAACACACCCAAAAAACAGAGAGATTGAGAACACAAGTGAAAGAACTAAACTTTTAAGGTAAATGATGTAGAGTATTATCATTTACTTGGAAGTCTAGAAGAAGAGGGACATGGGTTTCTTCGACTTTAGCAGCTAGAGAGAGACAAGCAACAGAAACGAGCTGAAGCATCCATGGTTTGTCTCTCTGTAAGCTGTAGCTACATATGAACTTGTCGAGATAAGTTATGGCTAAAACAGCTGCTAAAGTAGAGAACCCATAATGAGAGTTGACTCTCAGAATCCAACCCACTGCTTCTTTACGATCCGTGGCGAGATAAACATCGTCCAGACAGCTGAGTTCTTGTTCTTCTTCTTTGGAGAAGAGAGTGACCAGATCTTCGTCTTGCCAGAACAAATCTTGCTCCAGAAGAACGAATGGAGAAGAAGAAGAATAGGAAGAGTTGTCTTCAACTACTTCTTCTTCTTCATCTTCCCATTTCTCTTCCTCGCAGTAGAGAGCATCAAGAAGAAAAGAAGTGCTATGCTCTTCTCTACCTTCTTCCTCCTTTCGAATAGCCATTCTTCTAAGTAGTAGACACAAGAATGAGAAGAAAAGATCTTCCTCCTTGTTGATGTTTCTCTTTTGGTTAGCTCAGGGCAGTAGGATAAGATGATAGAGAGAAAATCTCATCTTCCTCTCTCTATGGAAACGTGCAGAGATTAGCTTAGCTGTAGAGGGACTACAAAAGAGAGACTAGAGAGAGAGAGAGAAAAGCTGGAAGTGGGAAGGAGAGGGAAAAGAAGAAGACTGATTTATGAGAGAATGCGATATGGTTTTTCACATTTGTCTTTTTTTACTCGCACAATATCTTTATTTGTTCTTATGATATTAAATGTGTCGTTTCTTTATGTATTTTTTCCTTTACTTTTTTTTTTTTGTATTTTTGTGTGTAATTTCTTTTTAGGTTTCCCGCTTTACCCACTTGTACTCATTGTAGAGATCGAGAAACCAAAGTGCAGTAAAAATCTGTGGGCTAAATAATCTAAATTTTAACATTGACCAGATAGACCCTAATATTTGATTTAAAAAACCTGAGAAGTGCGATTATTAGGTGGAGTTAAAAAAACAGCACATATAAACCAGCTCTTAAAGAATTTTGACTGAAGATGATGGATGAACCACACACACGACACAATGCTAAACAAAAGAGAGGTTTCAAGGTAATAATTAAACTATTTTGCTAGAAAATCTACAAGCTCGCTTAATAATATGACAAGATTCAGAACTTCTCAATGAGTTTCACTGACCATAGCAAAATAACGCTATGTTTTGCAAAGGTCAACAACAACATCACAGGGAAGATACAAGAATGAAAAATAAAAAGAATTTAAATTCAAGTCTCTAGAAAATATAAATAGCATCATCACTAGAAGCATCTATACATCATCAACACTTTCCGTCGACTCTAAACGCCGGAGGCTTTAGTACGGAGGAGGCGGGTATTGTCCTGGATAGGAACCTGGAAAACAAGAATATATACCGACCAACAATGAAACTGTTAAGAGATCTTGTATAAAGAATGATACAAGAAACACACCCAAATTCACATAAATTTTACTATATGCAAATTGAAAACGTAAAAGCAGACGGAACTAAACACAAAAGCAAGAACATTTGTACATACCTTGTGGGTAATATGGTGATTGTTGAGGAGGGTAAGTTGAGGATGGTGGAGGATAACCTGAAGGACCAGGAGGGTAAGCTGCAGGGGCAGGAGGGTAAGCCGAGGCTGAGGAAGGAGGATAGGCAGAAGGTTGAGGAGGATAAGCTGAAGCTGGTGGGTAAGCTGATTGCGGCTGAGAGTATTGTACTTGTGGGTACAGAGATGGTCCAGAGTATGGTGCTGAGTAGTGAGGTACTTGAGGCGCATACGGTGATGCTAAATGCGCAGAACCATAATTTTGTTTCTGCATACAAAGAACCAAGTGTATGTTTTAGCCTTTTATTCTTTTGTCAATAAACACGATCGAGCCGGTAACTAGCGTTGCTAATTGAGCATTTATGTTACCTTTGCGGCTGCATAATGCAGTATGAGTCTTACTTCTCCCGCATATCTGCAAGATAGAAATGGTGATGCATTTTCAGAAGATTTATAATCATATAACTAATCTACATATGAGTATATACTTCTTATGTGTATAAAGAGGACTACTTGAAGATGCTCTCATCTTATGAGTGCTTTTCACTTTATATCGGGAAGGAAAGTTAATAATAACTCAAAATTAACAAAGAAATGCAATAACAGCTTGTATTAATTAATTAACACCAAAGATGACAAGAAACTACACATAACCACTCTTACAAGTGACAAAGACCGTGCTTCCATGTCAACAGCAAGAGCTACAACTTCACTCAAGTGGAAAGCACAGGGCACACGAGTATAGCAAGGCACACACAAAACCACATGAAAAGTTCTATTGATAATTGGCAAGTCCAACACCAAGATCACGCAGAGCAAACGTAATTACAAAACATGATATAATCAATGCAAAAAGGAACAAAAAACACTAGAGAAACCAATGTTGTTACCTCCCATTTTTACTCTGCAGAGTCCAGGTACAGTCGTCGTATCCTTCAGAAAGAGCCTTCTGCAATTTAATCCTGATCACAACAAACATACATACATACAGAAGACAAAAGACTCAATTTCCAAATCCAAATCAAGAAAATTTCCAAAGCACAAACACATGACAAAATCACATACGTAGCATTCCCAATGAAGTCATCAGTGGAGAGTGTGTTGCTATTCCATACAACTACCTTAAGATCCCTAAGACCTTCAAGCATAGTGAACATAAACTTCTCTTGGAACACTGCGTTCTTTCCACCATCTGAAAAAAAACAAAGAAACCCATCAAAAAAATTCAAAGATGAGTAAGCTTTTCAAACCTTTTTAAGAGTTCAAGAAAGGCTAAATGTTAACCTGTGCATGTTCTTGTACGGTGCCTTGTGCTGCTATACTCGAGGACAACATATGGGTCTTGCCTCGAAAACCATTCAGTGTCTTTTAGTTTCTGGCATCCAACAACTGAAACCAAGCAAATCACATAAGCAAATTTAAGATCCAATAAACAGAGTATTCATTCTCCAGTGAACATTGAGTTAGAAAATGGAGGATGAGAAAGGCACGAACCAGTGACCTCAAGAACCTGGCCTTGAATACTCATCATCGACATGAATTGGATTGAAGAGATTCTATTTGCTTGAGAAATACAGAGAGATTAGGGTTTGATTAAAGAACAAGAGCTTGAAGAAAATATAAGGGTGGAAGCTGAATCTAGAGATGGTCCGTCTTTATATATAGAAATAATTTGACTTTGAATTTCGGAGAAGTTGTGGCGCGGACGGTTGGTTACTTTTGACTTTACATGGCTTGAGGAGGTTTACGCGTTTCTTATACAATGTTTTCTTTTTGAATTATATACTTTTGTTTCTATTTAAGGAAAGACTGCCATCTATAACTAAATTAAAATGTGTTATTTATTTAAATGATACTTATTTAATAACATCATTTACAGATGAGTTAATTACTAAGGTTTTATTATCTGAAATAATCTATACTAGGTGTTTTGCCCGCACTTGCGGGTTTAATAATTTTCTAATATCTATAAACAAATATAATCAGTTTAAATAAATTATAATAAATCATTGTTCATACACTCAAAATATTTAATAATAATCTAAACAAATTCTTTCTATATATAAAATTTTTCATCATCATATAAATAATTGTCATACACAAATTAAATGTGAAAATATTCATAAATTTAAAATACTTAGTAATAAATTAATATCATTTTTAGACATAACAAAAAGGTATAATAAAATTATCTTTAGTAATGTAAACTATCTATACATAAATTATTTGCGAATTATTTTTTCATAACTAAATATATATTAACAAATATAATTATTTTTCAAGGTTAATACAGACTTATAACAGAATTATAAAAAATTAGATAATGATAATTATCAAATTCATGAAATTCGTTTTTAATTTAGAATTAATTATATATTAACAAATATAATTATTTTAAATATAATTATTTTCAATGTTGATAAAGACATAATATAAAAAATTAAATAAGGATGATTATCAAATAAATGAAATTCGTTTTTAATTTATAATTAATGGTATATTACTAAAAAATATAATTATATTTCAAGGTTAATAAAGATTTTATAACCCAATATAAAATAGTTTTAGATAAAGATAAATCTAAAATCATTGAAATTCGTTTTTTACTTATGTTTAATTATATAATGAATTTTTTAATTATTATATAATAATAAATCTTTTTTTGGTCAAATGGTAATAACTATTAATCATTATATAGTAATAAATCTAGTTAGTCATTAAGTTTATGTTTGCTTTGTCATTAAAGGTAGTAAAAATCATAAGAACATGACAATTAGAATTACTATCCTTAATGGTGAATCAAACATAAACTTAATGACTAATTAGATTTATTACTATATAATTAATAATTCGATTTATTATAATCATTAGTCTAGATAATGATAATCATCAAATCATAAGAAACATGAAAATAAGATTTGTTTCTAATTATTATGTAGTAACAGATCTAATTAGTCATTATATATTAATAAATCCAATTAGTCATTAAATTTATATTTGCTTTGTCATTAAAGGTAGTAAATCTAATTAATATACTGTTCATAATTATATAATAATAATTTATTGAGTCATTAAATAAGGATAATAATTAATCATTAATCAAAATCATAAAACATGATAAAAGAATTATAATTACATAAAATCATGGAGAATAAGATAAATCAGCAAATTCACCTTTTTAAATATAATTAATTTATTTTTATTTATATATTAATTCAGTTTTAGTTTATGGCTTATTAATATCAACTATTTTTAGATAATAATAGTCATCAAATCAGTGAAATTTGTTTCTAATTTATGATTGATTATATATTAATTAAATATATTTTCTAATAACAACACAATATTTATAAGAATTATCTTTTTATTTTATTTTATTTTTAAATATATATTTAAATTATGGATAATTCTTATCATTATTATTAATTTAAATCATTTATCTAATCAAATAAATATAAATTCGTTTTTTATTTTTGGCTGATTTATATATTTTATCCATTAAGGGTATAAACGATATTAATCACTCCAACTTTTAACGTGCAAGCTCCGTTGCGAAAAATTACTTTGCAAATTTAAGTGAATTATCTGATTTGTAATTTCTCCATAATTTAGATAATTTTGATTATTTGTCATATTTTTAATAATTTCATATAAAATTTATTATAAATTTAAAACGAATTTATATTAATAATTTTATATTTTTCTAAAATAAGATAATTCATATATTATGTCGTTATGTTGAAAATATATTTCCTATTATAAAACTTGATATTAAGATATAAAAATTATACTAAAAGCGAATTTGTTGATTTGTCTTCATGTTTGTAGATAATTTTGATCATTTATCAGAATTACTCTAATTTTTTATTATTGATTATATAATTAAAACTTCTAACAATATGAAATTTTAGAAAATAAGTTAATTCTTATTTATTATGCTGTTATCTCGAAAATATATTTTTCTGTTATAAAATTTAAAATTAACATGTAAAAAAATCTATACAATTATTTAAAAAATAAATTTAATGCTTGTTGATTTGTCATATTTTCCATGATTTTAGGTAATTTTGATAGTTTATCATAATTTCTCTAATTTTATATATAATTTATTATATATTTAAAATAAATTTATATTAATAGCATCATATTCTTAGAAAATAAGATATTTCTTATGTATTAAGTTGTTCTCTTGAAAATATATTTTTCTATTAGAAATTTAAAATTAAGATATAAAATGTTGTAGTTATTTTATAATTGATATAAATTTACAGTAATAATACATAAAAATTAACTTATTTTCTAAAATATCATATTATTAATATAAATTAGTTTTAATTATATAATCAATAATAAACAAAATTATAGAAATTCTGATAAATGATCAAAATTACCTAGGATCATGGAGACAAATCTCAAATTCACTTTCAAATAATTGTTTTGATTATTTATATTTAATTATGATTTATATTTAATTCTTAATAATATAATTTTTATATCCTAATTTTAAGTTTTATAATAGGAAAATATATTTTCAACATAACAGCATAATACATAATAATATCTTATTTTAGAAAATATCAAATTATTAACATAAATTCGGTTAATTTATATTTAAATATTCAATTATTAATATAATTTCATTTAAGATAAGTATAAAAGTCTTTATATCTTAATTTAAAATTTCAGTTTTATAAATAAAAATATATTTCAAGATAATAACATAATTCAATAACAACATAATTCACAAGAATTATCTTATTTTCTAAAAATATGATATATTCTTATAATTTGTTTTATTTATAAATAAAATATATAGAAATATTAAAAATTTGATAAATAAATAAAATTACCTAAACTTATAGAGAACATGACAACTAAGCAAATTTATAGAAAATAAGATAATTCATATATAATATATATATATATATAGAGATATTAAAAATATGATAAATAAATAAAATTACCTAAACTTGTGGAGAACATAACAATTAAGCAAATTTGCTTCTTGAATAATAGTATAGAAGATTCGTTTTATTTATAAATAAAATATATATAACTATTAGAAATATGATAAATAAATAAAATTACCTAAACTTATGGAGAACATGACAACTAAACAAATTTACTTCTTAAATAATAGTTACTAAGGTTTTATTATCTGAAATAATCTATTTTTGTTTTTTTTTTTTTTTTTGTCTCTGATTAGGATTCGCACAAAAGAGACGGCGATATTTGGCGACTATAATAGATAAGACCGACCGAAGAAAGTATACATTTTAGTCCAATACTCAAAATGCATTTAACATCAATTCGAGTTTAATTGGCAACAATAATAATAAATGCAGTCTTTGTAGACCAAGCAACCACGAAGACGATATATACCATTTCCAAGCTTACCAGATAACTGTACAATACTTTTATGGTTGATCTAGAAACTAACCTATAAAACTATTATATCGTGGAACAAGCCATGTACTTGTATATACAAAGAAGCCGCCAACTGGAAATAGCACTTCTTTGTTGAAATGGTTTTATTCAACGTCACAAACAGTTCAAAGAATCTTCGTTTCTCATGTTGAAATTAGCAATTTTATTTTGAAATGGGTTTTAATCATAAGTCCCAAGCATTTCAAAGAATTGCTACGTTAAGCAAGAAAAAGATAAAGTGAACAATCTCTTCTTCTTTTCCTTCTTTTCTAGCTAATTATAGACAGTGTAAAGATTCAAACTTAAAAGTTCATAATATAATAATCAAAACATGTTCGGTACTGATACAAAATAAGATAAAAGCTGAGAATTACTTGTTGGAATCATCATGTTTTAGATAGGATGCTTCAAGCAGAATTTACGAACGTATGTATCCTCACGGATAGTAAGGAATATTCGCTTCTCATGTTTAAGGTTACAAGAAAAGATACTAACCAATCATTTTCGAAATCCGTAGATTACATATATATATATATATCATTTTCTGTTGCATCTGAACGTGTGTTAAATTTTTGTGCCCCAGTAAAAATCATGTAACCGGAGGTGTTAAAAAGATAAATTCACTATAAAATTGAAATCTGGGGTGTGGAGACCTTTGGCTCCGCGCAGGTATGGTTTTCGGGGTCTCAATCGGGTTTCGATTTGGTCCAATCGGATCTCAGTTTTTTTGGGTTTATCAAAATTAGCCCTATTCGGATTATTTGATAGTTTGATCCGAGGTCGATTCAGTTCTATCGGATTCAAGTCAGAGTTAGTAAATCTTTAAAGAACTTGTATAACCCGTTATACTTTAGGATTCGGGTCCCAATCGGTACTTTGGTTTAAAAATACATGATTTGTACCTATTTTGTAACCAAAACATAAATAAAATCGGTTCTTCGGATTTAAAATACCTGGTGTGTAACTATTTTGTAACCAAAACATAAGTAAATTTGATTTAAAAATAAGAAAGAAACATCAAACGTGATCATTCAAAATCAATGAAAGTTAAACATAGGTATTAATAGAAAGAAAACCAAATAAATGAAAGCATAAAACGAAAACCAAATTCTTAAGAAATGAGAAACATTATTCAATAAAAACAAAACTTTAATCTAAAAATTTCAAGTTTCAACAGTCACTTTCGACCATCAACCTTCAACCTTCATGTAACAGATAATTATTTTAGATGTTTAGTAATATCTTAAAGTATTTTGGATATATATATATTAGGAATTAAGATCATATTCGGTACACGTTCCTATTAAAAAATTTGAATGTTTCAGGTTCTATCGGATATCCATTTAATTTCGGGTTCGGTTCAGATAATACCCATAACCCGAAATACTATAAAACAAGATCCATTTGATATTTAAGTCGGGCTCGGATCGATTCAGATTCATTTTTATCGGATCGGGTTAGGTTCGATTTTCCAGGTTCGGTTTATTTGCCTAGCCCTAGCCTTGCGGTACAAGTACGGCTTTTAGATTTAAAAATTTTTACTTTTTCTAATAAATTATTCATGAAAAAAAAGAAATTGAGTTATATAAATATGAGTTACAAGATTATCTAATTATTCATTCACACAATAATATACAAACCTTAAACAAGTATTTGCCTCAATACGTTTTTGTTCTCTTTGCTTTTGTCAAGTTTTCATACATGTATGATTCAAAGAGCTGCATAAAGAGAAATATACCAAGCCCCTATATTCTCCCAAGTGTTTCCCACTGCTTGTAACAGCAGCCTGTGATGGATGTAGCTCATCGTTGTCCCAAATGTAGGAGTCTTTTTCTTTGTTGGGTTCTTGCAATTCCTTGTCGTATTCGTCGGGCATGAGGATTAATTTTGCATTAACATGACGAAACAAACCAAAAGATTGATGAAACTAAAGGCCTGGGCGGATGAAATCGTATTGGATTGTTGTATAATTGAATAAGTTTTACATTCATTAAGAAAATAGTACCGGATATAATTGTCAATCGAAGAAAAATTCCTAAACCGGAGCATTTCGGTTTAGGCCCATGAAGGTTTTAGCTAATCAACGAAAAGCTCAGGAAGCTGAATTTATTAAAAGATCACCTCTCGTGACAGATGTGTACTTAAAAATGATTTATTCTTGGGTTCACACAATCTAATAGAATTGCATTATTTTATATTTGATATCTTTGTTAAAAGGAAACAAAATCTTATTAAGTTATATTGTGTGTTTTAAATATAAAAATATAAAAAATAATAAAAAATAATAATTAAAAAAAACAAAAATAATTATTTAAAAAAAAAATATTTTAACATTACTTAGCTAAATCACAAATCTTTGGATAAATCTATAAAAAAATTAGTGTTTATGATTTATCAAAGGGTTTAGGGTTTAGGATTAGAGTTTATGATTTAGTGTTTATGATTTATCCAAGGGTTTAGGGGTTAGGATTAGAGTTTAGGGTTTAGTGTTTATGATTTATCCAAGGATTTAGAGTTAGGATTAGAGTTTAGGGTTTAGTATTAAAATATTTTTTTAAAGAATTATTTTCGTTTTTATTAATTATTATTATTATTTATTTATTTTTTGTATTTTTATTTTTAAAAACATAATATAACTTAACAAGATTTTGTTTTTTTTTTTAAAAGATATCAAATATGAAATGATGCAATCCTATTGGATGATTAATTTAGAGATTCACCATATAGGGTGAACCCAAGAATAACTCCTTAAAAATTGCGGTGAGTTCCATCTTGAGACAAGTAGAATCACATGGGCTAAGAGATTAAATGTTTCTTCTAGAAGAAAATTTAGACAACTACTAGAAGAAAACTGACAAATGCCATGACGATAATTTAACTTTAAACTTCCCAAGCTTATCCCATGTCGTCAAAGTATATTTGACAGAAAAGTCTTTGTATTAATTTTCTCGTACAACTACTCTGAAAATTCTATCGAGTTAAAGTCAAGATTATAATTAATGGCCCTAAAAAGATGGTGTTTCCACATATTAATTAGTATTTTTATATACACATTCGTATCTCCCCATCCTTGAGCATCCAAAGTTCAAATAAAAACTGATAGAAACGTTTCTCCTCGTCTCTGGAAAATCAACATCTTGTTTTCTCCGCAGAAAAACATGGGAACTTCTGGCGAACCTTCAAAGCTCCACATCTTCCTCTTCCCTTACATGGCTCATGGCCACATGATACCAACTCTTGACATGGCCAAGCTCTTTGCCACCAAAGGAGCCAAATCCACTATCCTAACGACACCTCTCAACGCCAACATCCTCGAGAAACCCATCAAATCATTCAACCAGGACAACCCTGGACTCGAAGACATCACTATCCATATCCTAGATTTCCCTTGCACAGAGCTAGGTTTGCCCCAAGGATGCGAGAACACCGATTTCTTCTTCTCTAATCCTGACCTAAACACAGGTGACTTGAACCGAAAGTTTTTATTTTCAATGGAATATTTCAAAGAGCAGTTAGAGCAGCTTCTTGAGACAGTGAGACCAGACTGTCTTGTCGCCAATATGTTCCTCCCTTGGGCGACTAAAGTCGCTGAGAAGTTTGGTGTACCTAGACTTGTGTTCCACGACCAGACTTCTCTTTATGTGCTTCTCATTGCTTAAGACTCCACAAGCCTTACGAGAAAGTTGCTTCGAGTTCTGAGCCCTTTGTGATCCCTGAACTCCCGGGAGATATTGTGATCACAGAGGAACAGGTTATAGAGAAAGAAGAAGAGTCTTTGATGGGGAAGTTTATGAAGGAACTGAGAGATTCAGAGAGAAGTAGCTTTGGTGTGTTGGTGAACAGCTTCCACGAGCTTGAACCTGCCTACTCCGATTTTTACAAGAGTTCTGTGGCCAAAAGGGCTTGGAGTATCGGTCCGCTTTCTTTAGGGAACAGAGAGTTCAAGGAGAAAGCAGAGAGGGGTAAAAAGGCTAGCATCGATGAGCATGAATGTTTGAAATGGCTTGATTCCAAAAAACGTGAATCAGTGATTTACTTGTCCTTTGGAACTATGTTGAGCTTCAACAACGAGCAGCTGATTGAGATTGCAGCTGGCTTGGAAATGTCAGGACATGATTTTATATGGGTGGTTAACAAAAGTGTAAGCCAAGGTACTCATCATACATATCTTTCTAGCCGTTACTTGCAACACAATCCTCTGTTTATTTCTGAGTAAACAATGTTTTAGGATTTGATTGTAAAGACTTTTGTGTTTTGTGGTGTGATTAGGTGAGAAGGAAGAGTGGTTACCAGAGGGGTTTGAAGAGAAGACCAAAGGAAGAGGATTGATAATCCGTGGGTGGGCGCCACAAGTGCTGATACTAGAACACCAAGCAGTTGGAGGGTTTTTGACTCACTGCGGATGGAACTCACTTCTAGAAGGTGTAGCATCAGGCTTACCAATGGTGACATGGCCCATTGGAGCCGAGCAGTTCTACAACGAGAAGTTGGTAACACAAGTGTTGAAAACAGGAGTGAGTGTAGGAGTAAAGAAGATGATGAAACCTGTTGGAGATTTCATTAGCAAAGAGAAAGTGGAGAAAGCTGTAAGGGAAGTGATGGCTGGAGAAGAGATGAGGAAACGGGCTAAGCAGTTAGCTGATATGGCGAAAGATGCGGTGAGAGAAGGTGGATCTTCAGATATTGAGGTGAATAGGTTGATGGAAGAGCTTAAGTTGGTTAGGTTGCAAAGAGAAGAGGAAAAAAGAAGTTGATCTTTTTGTCTAAGTTTAGGAACAAATGTTATTGAACAACAACAATGCTTTTGTGCTGGTTTGAGTTACCTTTTCGAATCAGGACTGTTTAGTATGTTGTTCTACTATACTATTTATTCTAATGTCACATGTTTAGCTTAGTTTGAGAGTATTTTAAAGTTCTGTATTCTGTTATGTGAAAAATAATAACTTAATAGAACCATTGTATCTTTGCATTGTAACTTCATCCAAGGTCATTATCTCACATAGAAAGGATCTTGATTAGAGGTCTCCCAGTTTTAGTAACCGTTATGATGAAACTAAAATTACATGTTGTGGTTTTTGGATTGGAGGAATCCTCCAAAGCCAGGAAGCATTTGTTTTGTTTCCCAAAATTTAAATAATTAACATGTATTCAGCCCCCAATTAATTTTTTAAACTATATATATCTATTGATTATTTAACTTCTGATTCATAATTGTTTTAAGCTAAGAGGCACGTGAAGTTGAGTTCTTGAGCCATCTAAACACAAACCACTTCATCAGTTCCGTCTTCTAATATTGTTCGTTCGGTTTAAGCGAAGAGCATGAACCATAATGATCCCACCAACATTTGGTACACACCAACATCACTCCTAACCTTTTTAATTAAAATAATATTTTAGTTACAAAACTTTACTCGAGTTGCATCAAACTATCTCTCTATATCACATACAGTATATTTATTATAGTCTGCAATTTTTGTGCAGGGCTTGTAGAATTGTATAAAAGCTTTTTCCTTTCTTGCGATCAGTGACTTCAATAAAAGACAATTCATTATCAATAATATAAGGATAATGTTTCATCTTTTTCTCTCGAATCTCCATATGGTGAATGACAATTTGTCTTCTTTATAAGAATTCTTAACTGGTGGACCATCTCAACCCACATGCTACGAACTTATGAACTTACCTTTCTCTAATATAAAGTCTAAAGACCCAGTGCTTCAAGAAAAAGTATTCTAGAATCATTAGATTAAACTATATGTTATGATGATTAAGACGCTAGGCGAGAAGACAATTCTAAATAATTAGTGAAGACTCAAATGGTATCTCGAGAGTTTACAAGTCTTTTCTTTTTTGGTTCAGCCGACAAAGAATAAAAAGTTTGGCTCCAAAAGATCTTGAAAAGTGATCCTATATTCCGACAACTGTGACAAATTGACAGAGGAAGCACCAATGAAACCAAAACAAGTTACGTATGCAAATACGTCAGAACCCATTACCCAAATGATCTCGCAAGAATCCAAACTAACGAGTGGACAGAGGATTTATGCATTATATATAGAAATCAAATAACTGTAATAATAAATATTATCCTTAAGACTGGACAAGACTCCTACCTAGAACCTTCAACACGTTAAAATAAAAATATTTTCAGATTTTCTACACAAAAATCAACATATTTTTTCTCTACGAGGTTGAGAATCTTTTCAGATTTTTCTACTCAAATTTCTCAGAGCAAAAACTCATTGTCTTTGCAACCAAAGCTAGACAAACATGAGTAGTAATCCACAGCACAAGCTCCATGTTATGTTCTTCCCTATGATGGCTTATGGCCACATGATACCAACTCTAGACATGGCTAAGCTTCTCTCTAGCAGAGGAGCCAAGTCCACTATCATCACCACACCTCTCAACTCCAAGATCCTCCAGAAACCCATCGACACATTCAAGAACCTGAATCCCAATCTTGAAATCGATATCGAGATCTTCGATTTCCCTTGCGTGGAGCTAGGGTTACCAGAAGGATGCGAGAACGTTGATTTCTTCTCCTCAGACACCAATGTCGATGGTAACTACATGACCTTAAAGTTCTTTTTGTCGACAAGTTTCTTCAAAGATCAGCTCGAGGTACTCCTCAAGAAGACAAGACCTGACTGTCTTATAGCCGATATGTTCTTTCCATGGGCTACCGAAGCTGCTGAGAAGTCTCATGTGCCAAGACTTGTGTTCCACGGCACTGGCTACTTCTCTTTATGTGCTGGTTACTGCCTCAGAGTGCATAAACCACAGAACAAAGTAGCTTCGATTTGTGAGCCCTTTCTGATCCCCGAGCTCCCTGGGGACATAGTGATAACTCAAGAACAGATCATAGATGGAGACAATGAGTCCGAGATGGGGAAGTTCATGACTGATGTAAGAGAATCAGAACATAAGAGCTCAGGTGTCGTTGTGAACAGCTTCTACGAGCTTGAACCTGCTTACGCAGACTTTTACAAGAGATTTGTAGCCAAGAGAGCGTGGCATATCGGTCCACTCTCTGTTATAAACAGAGGATTTGAGGAGAAGGCTGAGAGAGGAAAGAAAGCTAGCATTGATGAAGCTGAATGCCTCAAATGGCTAGACTCCAAGAAACAAAATTCAGTCATTTACATTTCATTTGGGAGCGTTGCTTGCTTCAAGAACAAGCAGCTGAAAGAGATAGCTCTAGGGTTAGAAGCTTCTGGCACAAGTTTCATCTGGGTTGTAAGGGAAAACACAGGTGACAAAGAAGAATGGTTACCAGAAGGTTTTGAAGAGAGGGTCAAAGAGAGAGGGATGATAATAAGAGGATGGGCTCCACAAGTACTGATACTTGAGCACCAAGCAACAGGTGGGTTTGTGACCCACTGTGGCTGGAACTCGCTTCTTGAAGGAGTGGCTGCAGGGCTACCTATGGTGACGTGGCCTGTTGGAGCAGAGCAATTCTACAACGAGAAGTTGGTTACGCAAGTGCTCAGAATTGGAGTTAGCGTGGGAGCCACAAAGCATGTGAAAGCTATGGAAGATGATATTATTGGTAGAGAGAAAGTGGAGAAGGCGGTGAGAGAAGTGTTGGTTGGGGAAGAGGCGGAGGAGAGGCGTAGCCGGGCTGAGAAGCTGGCGATGATGGCTAAAGCTGCGGTGGAAGAAGGAGGGTCTTCTTTTAACGACCTAAACAGCTTTATAAAAGAGTTTAGCACATGATGATCTTTAATATATTGGAAATAAGACAAAAACTAATGTAATAATCAAGGAACATATGTTAATCAATCTTTCATTTTCACTTGACTGACCTAGTATGAATAATTTCCCTACGGCTCCACTAATTCTGGTACATGTTTAAATCAAGTCTTAATTACATTTGTTAAAGACTCACCAACGTTTAGAGTTTCATAAAAGAAGAACAAGAGTTAAGACAGATGTTCAACTCCAAATTTTAGCAAAAAAAGAAGAAGACAGATGTTCAATTTTAGAAAGAGTGGTGACACATACATGATCTTGTCTTGTTCCATGTTTGTGTGAGATTTGACTTTTCTTTGTAGGTATGTAACTGAAAGAATAGTTAAACTTCAGTGATGTAGATGTACAAATATTACTATCTAAATAGCATCTGAATTAGTTATTACATATTGTTATCCTATTATTAATATTTTTTTCAACACTATTGTTATCCTATTAAAATATATATTTTTGTTAAGATATATCCTCCCATTATTAGCCCTGTTCAAAAAAAGTAAAATATATATATATATATATATATATATATATATATATATATTTTGAGAACGAAGTATTGGCAACGAAGTAAAATAGCTTTTACTCGAAATATCGACATAATTGTAAATTTAGAATGGATTTGCAAGTTAAAATAAGAGTTTGGTTCTACAAGACCTCGAAAAGTGATCGTGGCTTCCAAAAATATAACAAAAAGTGACGTATGCAAAGACGTCAAGTCTATTAAACCAAAACGTCTCTTGTATATATAAACAGAGAGATGCATAAACTTGTACAATCATTCAACACGAGAGGCAAAAACAGCTCTTCTAAAAGCTTCAGAGTCTTTCATCCCTCTCAAATTTCTCGAAACATCTCATTTTCTTTTCAATCAAAGTCAAACATGACTAGTAACTCTCACAAGCTCCATGTTATGTTCTTCCCTATGATGGCTCATGGCCACATGATACCAACTCTAGACATGGCTAAGCTTTTCTCTAGCAGAGGAGCCAAATCCACTATCCTAACCACACCTATCAACGCCAAGATCCTCCAGAAACCCATCAACACATTCAAGAACCTGAATCCGAGTCTCCAAATCGAGATCCAGATCTTGGACTTTCCTTGCCTGCAGCTCGGGTTACCAGAAGGATGCGAAAACGCTGACTTCTTCACCTCAATCAACAACAGTGATGATAGACGCGCCATGATCTCCAAATTCTTTTTTGCGACCAGGTTTTTCAAAGACCAGCTCGAGAAGCTCCTTCAGACAAGGAGACCTGACTGTCTTATCGCCGACATGTTCTTCCCATGGGCTACCGAAGCTGCTGAGAAGTCCCATGTGCCAAGACTTGTGTTCCACGGCACTGGCTACTTCTCTTTATCCGCTGGTTATTGCATCAGAGTGCATAACCCACAAAAGAGAGTAGCTACAAGGAATGAGCCATTTGTGATCCCTGATCTCCCTGGGAACATTGTGATAACTCAAGGACAGATCAATGACCACGGTGAAGAAACCGAGATGGCGAAGTTTTTTGCTGAGGTTAAAGAATCAGAGGTGAAGAGCGCAGGTGTTGTTGTGAACAGCTTCTACGAGCTCGAACCTGACTACGCTGATTTTTACAAGAGTACTGTAGCGAAGAGAGTGTGGCATATAGGTCCACTCTCGGTTCAAAACAGAGGATTTGAGGAGAAGGCTGAGAGAGGAAAGAAAGCAAGCATTGATGAGGCTGAATGCCTCAAATGGCTTGACTCCAAGAAACCAGATTCAGTCGTTTACATGTCATTTGGGAGCGTGGCTAGCATCAAGAACGAGCAGTTGTTGGAGATTGCTGCAGGGTTAGAAGCTTCTGGCACAAGTTTCATCTGGGTTGTGAGGAAAAATGGTGAAAACACAGGTACTGATGATAAACAAAACCCATGCATTGATTGTTTGTTCACTATGTTTCTTATGCTCTGAAATGGAATTTGGTATGAACAGGTGAGAAAGAAGAGTGGTTACCAGAAGGGTTTGAAGAGAGGGTCAAAGGGAGAGGTATGATAATTCGAGGATGGGCTCCACAAGTTCTGATCCTTGAGCACCAAGCAACCGGTGTGTTTGTGACTCATTGCGGCTGGAACTCACTTCTTGAAGGAGTGGCTGCAGGGCTTCCGATGGTGACGTGGCCGGTTGGAGCTGAGCAGTTCTACAACGAGATATTGGTAACACAACTGCTCAAAACTGGAGTGAGCGTGGGAACGAACAATCATGCAGTCATGGGAGATTTCATTAGCAGAGAGAATGTGGATAAAGCAGTGAGGGAGGTGCTGGCTGGGAAAGAAGCTGAGGCGAGGCGTAGCCGTGCAAAGAAGCTTGCGGAGATGGCTAAAGCTGCCGTGGAGGAAGGAGGGTCTTCTTATAAAGACCTAAGCAACTTCATAGAAGAGTTTAGCTCATAGATCCAGTCATCTTGTGATTTTGAGTTGTAAACTCCTGAAATCTGGCAGATCATTAGTTTCAAGTCAGTTTGACAAATAAAAGCTCTCTGTAATTTCTTTTAAGGTTCAGTCTTTTCTTGAGTTCTTGATGAAGCCACCACTATAATGTAAGAAGCTCCATCAAATGTTGCCACATGTTCATTAGAACTTTGATTTCTTTGGTCTTTGTCATGGTAATAAGAGTACACTTGTGCTACAATAAATTTTATATATCAAATACTAATTGTCTTCTATATAAGAGGAGGATACCTGGCTGCGTCTTCAAATTGAATGCATCACAGTCAACGAGAAAAGAAGGTATCATCAGCTCCCCAACAACACCAGCTGATTCTTCTTCAGTTGCCACTACCAATAATCCCCGCAAGAACAAGAACCATCCCTAAAATGGTGGAACCGGTTTGTATCTCTCACAATGATCTCCCTCTCAACCACCTTTGAAACCAACTTGATTGCTGAATGGCAATCTCCACAAACCCGAATGTTTTTCTTTATGTGTATGGTTGAACCAGGAGGAGTGTTTAAAAGAGCAAACGCCAACGCAATTTTCTCGCTATGATACTGTAAATTCACTTCCCTCTCCTGTTGATCTACATGGACTACTACATGGCTGGTGTCTGGCACATATCCCAACTCCTTGATCTTTGCATAAATCTCTACCCACTTGCGACTAATCTCCTCCCTCTGTGGATGACATTCATCATTTGCTACAAACATGTGAATTGCGTTCTCAATCTCTACCCAACTACACGCAGGTTCTTTCTTCACTCCACTTTCCTTCATCTTCTTTCTCACTCTTGCAGCATCGTTCCATCTGCCACCTGATGCATAGATGTTATATAGTATTACATGGGGACCAGGGTCATCAGGGTCAAGTTCAAACACATGCTCGGCTGCATAGGCTCCCAAGTCCACATTCTTGTGCATCCTACAAGCATTAAGCAGAGCTTTCCAGATGGCTGCAGTGGGTTCTATTGGCATCTCTCTGATAAATCTCAGTGCCCTGTCAAGATCACCGGAACGCCCAAGAAGATCAACAATCGTGACGTAGTGCCAAGCCTTGGGTACTATCCCATCTTTCTTCATCAATTCAAAGTAATGCCACCCTTCATCTAAAAGACCAGAATGGCTACAAGCTGTAAGAACAGAGAGAAACGAGATTTCATTGGGAGTACTCCCATCCCTTCTCATTTCTTCAAACAAAAACACTGCTTCTCTTCCAAGTCCATGTTGAGCATAAGCAGTTAGGAGCGAGTTCCAAGACACCACATCTCTTTTAGCCAACCTATCAAATATCTTTCTCGCGTCATGAATGCTTCCTGACTTCGCATACATGTCAATAAGAGTGTTTCCAGCGAAAGCCACAAGCTTTTCACCCGATTTTATCATATACGCATGAACCCATTTCCCTTGCTCCAAGAACCCTGTACTGGAACAAGCGCCAAAGATGCTAGAGTATGAGAAATGGGAAGGTCTGAAACCTTCTCTAAGCATCCGTTGAAAAAGCTCAAGAGCCTTCTCAGTACCACATCTCCTCGCATGCCCAGCGATCAAAACATTCCAAGAAACATCATTCCTACTCTCAAGCTCATCAAACACCACCTGTGCATCATCCATAAGACCATAACGAGTGTACATGTCAAGAAGAGAGCTGCCAACGTGAACATTCAAATCAAACCCGCACTTAAGACAGAACCCGTGAAGTTGCTGACCACAACAACCCCCAGGCTCAGCTGCTGCAGCAGCTTTAACCACGCTGGACAAAGTGAACTCATTAGGAATAAACCCATCTCTAAGCATCTGATGAAACAAGAGAATCGCATCAATGGGTCGCTCATGCTGTGAGTAACCAGAAATCAAGGTGGTCCAAGTGACAAAATCTCTTTCAGGCATTTCGTCGAACACCTTGCGAGCCTCTTCCAAGCTTCCGCATTTAGCATACATGTTGAGCAGCGTGTTGTTCATAACAACCTCACATCGGAACAGAGACTTAGCAACGTAGGCGTGAACGATCCTTCCCTGAGAAACTTGCTTGGAGACTGTACATTCCTTGAGAAGCATGTTGTAAAGACGTCTTAAATCGGTAACACCATTGCCCTCGAGGAGGTGAAATACATTAATGCCATTACTACTCCTGTGGAGAAGATCATTGTTGGTTGGGAACCCTAAGGAATCGTTTTTGGAATCCTCATACAACGGTGCCGGAGCAAAACCTAGACCCCGAGAAACTTTTAACTGAGAAAGGATACGAGACGTGAGACGCACGGGGGTTGAGAGCATCATTGATGTAATTAAAGGAACAAACTTGTTCGTAGGTTATTGTTATTAAACACTTATTGAGTTGTTTGGTCATTTTTATTACATACTGATTTAGTTCGTTTTTTTTTATAACATACTTATTGAGTTGATTCTGGCTTCCTATTGGTTCTAATGTTCAAGGCATTCTGAGTGAGAGAAGAAAGAAGAAAAGACAGCAAATTCATGTGAAGTAGTAGTTCAAGTTCTGTTTGCTAGTTTGTGTTTGGTGGTGGTTATAAGACTAGAGAATAGACTTTGCCCTCTCCTACACAAAAATGACTTGGATTCTGACTGAGTTTGGGTACACATTATATATACTGTTATGAATGGGAATGAACAGATTTGATATTTAACTGGAATATCTGCTCTCTATAACATCTGCTGCTCTCTCTAGCTATGTTGAGTTCTCTGTTTCCCGCTTGATCTGCAGTGCAGCTCTTACTACGTTCCCCCTGGTAAGTATCCCAATCTATTGTTGCAAGCACACAAAAAAAATAAGACGACAACGAAGATCAGAACAAGACCCTCGACTAAACAGCAAAAGGAAGAAAGAAAAGATTGTGACATTACCAGTTTTCCATCTGAATCCACGACTGGTAATCTTCGGAACTTTGTTTCTAGAAGCAACCTGGAGACAACAAGTGGTTTTACACATCTCTGTAAGCAAGTGTTGCTTTCACAGATAAATAGACAATGCCACTTGCAATAAGAAAATCGGGTTGAGCTCTTATTTTACCTGGCTGCATCTTCTAAATTGGTGGAACCACGGACAACAAGAGGAGAAGGCGTCATCAAGTCTCCAACCACTTTTCCATGTGTCTTACTTATCAGTTTCTGGAGTTCATTAAACGTCTGGAGAAAAGAGAAATCGAATTATTAATATACTAACCTCACTCTCAGGAGAGTTACATGCCAAAAAAAAGGGAACAAACACTAGTTCTCAAGCAAATTGCAATGGAATAGATAAGTGTAGAAAACGTACTTTCCAGGTACTGTCGACGTTAGGGAACAAGTTGGTTTCATTTTCGCAGCGACCTATAATACCAAAAGACGAGAGGATGATAAGGTTGCTACACTAAAACAAATCAATAAACGTTCTGCACAACAGGACTGAACAAGAAAAATATGCGCTAAGGTTCACTAGTCTAGAACTAGGACTCAGCTCACTGAATAAAATTTTATTCTATAATGAAATTGAAACCCCATATACTTTGCTGATCATAGCACATAAGGGTTTTCTCATCTGGTGGAAACAAAAAAAAAAAAACAGAAGATAGAAAAAAAACATGGTGTGCATAAAAACTTGTGTACGTTACCAGAGATGGAATCGAGTGCAAGCAAGTCGTAATCGGAAACAACACCAACCTGCAGGATATATTATAGCAGAGGAGTAAGTAATATATATGTAATCAAACCGCGAAGACAATTGCTGTATGGTTTAATCACGAGTTGTTGTGCAGGAATCCTTTAGCATAATCAGAGAAGCAAAAGAGAGGAAGCATACCAGGTTCCAATCATCATCAATTACAGGCAATCCAGTGACTTTCTTCTCAACCAGAAGTTCCAACGCTGTTTAAGGTAGCCAAAAATACAGATTTAGAGACTTGGATTGGTAGTTATTACAAGGAACGGATTGGTTAATTACCATCATCGACAGAAGTTGAGGGCTTAACAACATGCAGATGCTGTCTCCCTGTCATGAAATCCCCAACTGTGTAACCCTCGTTTCTTGCCTGAAACCCCCCACCAAAGAGAAATCTCATATCATCAAACAATCAAGTTTAATTTGATTAAAAGGGAGTACAAGTACTTACCGGAAGGGAGTCATTAACGCCTGCAGGAGCTGAGAAGACTGCAGAGGCGGAGATTCGCAATGAATAAGTGGAGCGACGACGACGGTTAGAGAGAGGAGGAAGTGAGAAGGATGAAGAAGTGGGAAGAAGGGATTGACTGAGTGATGTAAGTAGTGGAAGTCGCGTTATGGGCAGAGAATTGGATACAGAGATTGAACCCATGATGGCTTATCCTCTCTGTTCCTCACGGATTCCAATGAACAAACAAATATTTTTGTGGAATCTGAGAGAAACTAAGGTAATAAAATTTGCAAAAGGAGAGAGAAGAGGTGAAGAAGAAGAAGTAGACAAGTTGATGTCTTGGTGATATGTGGTGGGGACACGGCCACATATCAATCTCTTCCTATATGATCGGTTCGGTCGGTGCGCTTATTATTTTCAAAAGTATAAAAGTCAAATTTCGATCCAAGGAGAAAGCCTAATTTGAACGCTGTTTTGGTTTTCACGTGTTAATGGATTGTTATGTGGTGATCGTTGAACCGAAGCCTAAACAAGTAACAAAACTTAAGACTAGATGGTGACATGTGCTGAAGTCATGATTCATGTGTTACAAAATGGTAAACGACTTCAACCAAACAGGAAGTGGTGCTTCAAATCCCAGATCAATCATGTTTCTTCATTACTTTTTTTGGGCAATTAAGATTACCTCTTTTTGGTTTTTTCATTCATTTAAATAGAGAAAGAACATAAACAAATTGGAGTCGTAACTCCTTTCAACATGGAAATCAAGGGAAAGTGGAGGAGACTGTTTCCTATATACAAAGAAGACCATTTCTCTCTTATTATCAACTATGTAATCAATTATGTAGTGTGTTTCCGGTTTGACAGGTGTTGGTTTGATTCTGTAACTCTATCAGTCTACTAAGGCCAATCAATCAAGAAGCAATTGGATAGAAAGTAGGTTGTTATTTATTCCTTGAGAGATTAAAGCAATCAATAAAGTCATCTAGTTGTTACATACACACACAAAAACATATGTCATGTGGTAGAAATGGTAAAAACCTGAACCAAACAAGAGGTGTGCTTCAAATTCGAGACCAATCATATATTCCTTCACCATTCACACCTCTATGTTAAGATCCTATCTACTATTAGTGCTAATCAATCAAGAAGCAATTGGATTAAAAAAGTAAAACTGTTAATAACAACACACACAGTTGGTTAACTTAGATCATTTATCCAATTGTATTCAATGTAAAAACCAAAGCTTTCAAAAATTTGTTTAACAAAAACGAAGAAAGGAAACTAGAAGCAACAATTGCAAGCAAAAGGACAGTCACGCGTATTACCAGCATTGGCCTTATTGATACCAAGTTCTTCTTCCGTGAACACTAGTAACCCATCCTCAGTCCTCTTCCTCGGCCCTGTTCTCTTCGGGTTGTTGTTATTGAATCCCTCAACATCACTCCTCTTCCTTTTCCTCTTTGCCATGACCCCTTTCTTCTTACTCGTTTCCACTTCTTCTACCTCCTTCTCCTTCTTCTTCTTCCTCCCACCAAAAATGTCATCAATCTCTTTCCCTATTTTACCAGGTTTGGTTTGTACTGTGGCAGGTGCTTGAGACACCTTCTTCTTATTCTTCCCCCCACCAAAAATGTCATCAATCTCTTTCCCTATCTTACCAGGTTTCTTTTGTTGTATAGAAGGTTTGTCTCCAGCTTGGGACAGCTTCTTCAAAGAAGAACTGCTACTACTCTTCTTCTTAGACATTTATTTTTTTGGATGAATATAACAGCACAATCACAAAGAGGGTCACCTTCAAACACCACAATTTAAACTTCTCTCAGTGTATATTAACTAAGAATAATATAAAACAATCAATAACACTAACCTTTTTTTAGAACCCTAATTAACTTCATCATAACAAACAAAGCAGACACATAACATTGTAAATCTGTAATTCGAATCTAATTATGATTTCGCTAAACCGATAAAATCGCAATCAATTTGGATTCCCAATCTTAAAAACACAGAATCAATTAGATTTCAATCGAGAAAACTTACATATAGAAACGAAGAAGATCGAAGAAGCTTTTTTGGGTTGGGAGGAAGATTACTCGAGAAAGCAATGGAGACGCACGCACAGTACCAAAACCCTAGGCTCCTCCTCCAGTCACAGAGGGTTTAATTGTTTTGTTTTTGCCTATAAACCCCCTGACTTTCTTTAGTTCCATCAAATAAACCATTTATCTTTGTTTGTTACTTTTCTTTTAAATTCTGTTCCTACTTTTGTAAATTTTGGATAGACGCCTGAACTTTTATGCTACATCAGTTACGTCATTAATTCTTTTGAAAATAGTGGGTGTTTACATCATTAATTCTGTTCATCATTACGTGTTATTGGTCTATGTATTTAGAAATCTACATGGTATTTATAAATGCAAATAAGATATACAAATTTTCAAAGCTAATTGATTTTATAAATCCCATATCTTTTTCTCGGATTTGAGTTTTTGTATTTTAACAAAGAGATCTATACAAATATATGCAAATTTTATTATAAAATAAAATTTATTAGAAAATCCGTATAACTGAATAATATCTTATTTGGTTGAAATTTATAAATGATGAAACCAATAACATATAATTTCAACAATACCATTAGATTTAGTAATGATGAGAAAAAATAATTTCAACAATACCATTAGATTTAGTTTTGATTGTCAAATCCATTAACATAAAGTGAAACCTTTATAAATTAACTAGGGTCGGTCCGCGCTACGCGCAGAATTTGACTATTTCTTAACATCTCATTATGTTTTTTGTTTAACATTTGTTTTTAGTCTAGAAATTATATCTTATGTTAATTGTATATCATTATTTTTGTGATTTCTTTAGATTTTTTTCTTCATTTCTGTTAAATAAAATGTTTACTATTAAAAAAATCACCTTCAGCTTTGTTACAATAGACTAAAATTTTTAATAGAATTGTTGAGATAATTTGAGTAAGACTATATTATGATCTCATCTTGGAAATATTGATCATTTGAACCTATTTGCTTTATTTTAGCTTCAGTTCTACTATGTATGATGTCTTTTGTTTGGATGGTGCAAGTATATACTTTTATTTTTATCTCGTTATTGAATTATGGTTGAATTCTTTTTTAAAAATTTAGTATGTAACTTTTGAAATAATTTATATATATATATATATATATATATATATATATATATTTATGTGGATACAATAATCTTACTTCTCTTTGGTATAATAAAAACTATTGTGTTCATTTATTGTGTAGTAGAGTGTGTTGTATATATTTGCAAAATCATATTCTTATTTTTAATGATTTTTTTTTATTAAAACATAATTTTTTATTTTGTTTTTCCCATTACTTCTTTGTTTGAATGTGCTCACGTTTTATATGATATTTTAAAAATTAGTTTTATTTAAGTTTGTAAATTTAGGTTATATGTATTGATTTTTAATAAGAGACTATAAATATTAAAATTAATTTATGTGATTGGTATTAAGTGTTTTAAAATCATTAAAAACATGTTTGTAAATATATATTTTTGTCAGTAAAACAAATGCGGACTGAAGATCTTTTTTTGAAAAATCTATATTTATGTGGATATAATAATTTTACCTCTCTTTTATCTATAGAGATAGATTGGGGAAAAACTTTATAGTTTAGTGATTTTGGAAATATAGAACGGAACGAATTTTCAAACAATTACTAGACCTTGACCCGCGCGCCAGCGCGGGTATGATTTTCCGGTTGTTGATTATTTATTTTATTAAATGATGTACTTGTAATACTTGATCATATTATATTCACTTAGCATATAATATTTTTGGCATGTTAAACCATCTATTGTATGATCAATCTTCGATATCATATAAAAAAATTAAACATATATAGTTAATTAGAGA